AACGTAAATTTACGTCGGACATTACGAAATCCGACGTAAAAATAGTAAAAAAAAACAAAAAAAAACATAAAAATGCAAGCAGAACGGCCCTTTCTGCTTGGAGAACAGGTCGTTCTTCTTGCAGAACTGGTCGTTCTGCTTGCAGAACAGACCGTCCTGCTTGCAGAACAAGCCATTCTGCTTCGTAGAACTACCCAAAAGAAAACGCTCACTACCTATACAAATAAAACAACCAAAAAATCGAATAAAACAGATAGCCAGAGTAGAAATGCGAAATAGAAAAGTGCTAACGAAACCTTGATTCATACCTGAGGAGCAGCAACAATGTGCGAATGAGTAATAAAGAGTTCATCCCTCTGCAAAAGACAAAAAAACGATTAAGTAACAAAGGAGAGGGAGAGGGTTTACAGAGAAAAAAACGAAAAGTGAAGAGTGAATGCGCGCGGTGTGCCTCGCGCTCTCTTATTCAAATTTGCGTCCTTTTTTACGTCGGACCTGCTAGGGTCCGATGTAAAATGTCAAATCTACGTCGGACACAACGTACCTCCGACGTAGATTTAACTTTTTACGTCAGCCCCTACCAGGTCCGACGTAAAAAAGTTCGCAAAAATTACAAAAATGTCACCGCGTTTTTTTTACGTCAGATTTTCGTATTTCTGACGTAAAAGGGGTGACGTAATATGCTGATTTTCCACTAGTGACAATACTCGTGTTTCTGCTAGGGTGACTCATCTGATTTCATGCATTTTATAAATAGTGTACAAACTGAAAATTTTTGTGTGAGAACATGACGTTGATTTTTTTATATATATAATCATAACATTGATATGAAATATTCATCTTAAAAAATAATGACTAATTTTCATAAAAGATCGTGAACACATGTAAGATAAATATTTTTCGCCAACATATTCTATTTCATATTAAAAGTCAGAATTTGAATTCAGAACATCTTGATTAAGAAACATAAATCACTACTACTTATATTAACTAATGTATGTGAACATGATTTAAATTTAATTATATAATAGAAAGAAAAAAAAACACAATATCACACAAAATAGGATCATTATAAGATAATTTGATTTGATAAAATTTAGAATATTACATGCAATAATAATTATAGACCGAATAAAATTTACAATACATGATTTGATTTAGTTTAATTATTGTCATTAGAAAGATTAAAAGAGAGTTTTCCTTTGTGATTAAAAATGTTTTGGTTGATGAACATATTCAAATATAACATTGAAACAAAGATAACGTAATATTATGAATTGACATTATTATTGATAAAATTGATATTATTTAATTTAAAATTTTCAAAATCATATACCTAATTTGTAATGAATTAAATTGGTTGATACTTAGGTTAAATTTGACGTTAGTCACTCGTGAGACGGTTTGAATAGATAGTATCACCCAAAAAGATGTAGTTATCAAGGAAAAATATAGAATATGATATGGAAATAAAATTAACATACATGTGCTTATTTTTGCAAACTAGGTGATTAATTATTATAAAATATAGAAGCATCACCTCACTATTAATTTAATAATTAATTAAAATTTATGAATTGTCATCAAATAACATACATTGTGTTTTACTCTTATAAATTCCAAATATGTTTGGTCAATAAAAGATAATGTTAAAATCAATATATAAAATAATTGGGTTAATTCTATTTTTTATTTCTCTAGTATTAATTTTTAGTCTCTAAAATTTTAATTGAACAATATTTTAATATATTTTAATCCCTTAATTATGTACAATTGTGTGATTTTGACTCTCAAATTATATATAAGTTATTTTAGTCCCTCAATATTACCATTTTAAAGTTTTATTTTCTCAAATATCATAATTATACAATTTTTAACTTATTTTAGTGGTATATAATTTTTATTCGTGTATTAAATGATATATTTGTTATTATTAAAAGCATTAATATATATAACTTAAATAGATTAAAAAATGTTATATATATAACTACAATATTTTAGACACTAAAATTACGTAATTATGGTATATTAAGACTAAAATTGCTCGATTAAAAATTAAAAATTAAAATTGCACAATTATGATACTTAAAAAATAAAAAATGTTTGATTAAAATTTAAGATAATAAAATTGCATAATCATCATACTTGATAAAATAAAAGTACATTTAAGTCAATATAATATTAAAATATTTGAGTGAATATCATATGTGTCATCATATATTTCTAAGTGAATGTTTATAAAATTATATGAAAAATTCGTGTTGATAAAGAATTTAACTTATCTTAAATTTAAATATTTTATAATTTTGAAATGTGAAATGACAATGGATTTAATTATTTAATATCTCCTTGTATAGTCTCTTTGATACTTGTAGATGTTTATTTGATACTAAATTTTACAATTATTTTACAATCTCTTCCTTCCTCTTTGTCCTAACCTCTTCATCTGCCTTCTCCTCCTCCTTTGAAGCATCCAAGGTACTTGTAGCGCAGCGCCAACGACGGAGGGGACGAGGAAAAGGAACAAGGAGATTTCATTCACAATTGAATACAAGTTGAACAGCAAGGCAATTAGTGAGATTAAGGCCTGTTGTGTTGCCCTGCATCACGAGTTAGGCTGGTTGAGCTTCTTTTTCCATCTTTTGATTACCATTATCTATATCGATGAGTGTTTTCCATAGCTATTGCAGTCATCACGAAACAAGACTTGATGGGTGAATTCATTACAATTATTAAAAAATAAGGCTACTTTTTATGTTCACATAACTGATTCAGAAAATTAACTTTTTATATTTATTATTAAAATGATAAAGAAGGTTAAAGTTTACCATTTCCTTTATTTTTTTATTATAAAAAAATGATTTCACACATATTAAAAAAATTAGTTATCTGCATTAAAATTTATTAATTTTATAATTTTTTAAAATTATTCTTATTATAAATGTAAAAATTAAAATTAAAATTAAAAAAAAAATAGTACAACTAAAAAGTCATGTACTAAAATAGAAATATTTTAGGAAAAGTCATTAATGAAATACAAATAGTTAAAATTTGTTTATATTTAAGAACAAAAATTGTGTACTTTTTTTATAATAGACTATAGATGGAATATTTATTAATTTGCATCTATGATATGTCTAGAACTAATATAAAAATTCCTTTTGAATCGACAAAAAATCTTAAATTAATATGTTAAATAACTAATGTAAAACGAATCTGGTGATATTTTTTAAATTTTATAAAAAAAATTTACATTGGTTCCAAAGTAAACTATGCAAAATACTTTTTTATATTGTTTCTAAGTTGATCCAAATTAAAAATATACATTTTACTTCGGTTGAACATACAACTGATGTAGAAAGTCTATTAAAAATTTCCCATATAACTTTTTTTTCGCACTCACGCCCTCACTTTTGTCTTCGCCACTTTCTCGCAATCTCTTTGCACCAACGTTGATAATGTTCAAAGTAATGGCAGAACTTGGATAAAAAAATTGGAGATGCCAAATTAATCTTTTTATATATAAATTACATGTTTTATTAATTAAAATAATAATAAAATTTTTCATTTTTTTACTCAAAATAAACATATACATAATAATAAAATCTAAAAAAATATTATTATTTATTAGTCATTTCATAAAATAATTATACAAATATAATATAATATTATATAT